CCAGGCCAACAGCATCAACATCTCCTGAGAACTTTATTTTTTAAATTTATTTTTGGCTGTGCTGGGTCTTTATTGCTGAGCACCGGCTTTTCTCTAGTTGCTAGTTGTGGCAAGCAGGGACTACTCTTCACTGCGGGGCGTGGGCTTCTCATCGTGGTGGCTCCTCCTGTCGTGGAGGCTCCTCCTGTCATGGAGCACTGGCTCTAGTCGTGCAGGCTTATAGTTTTGGCGCAGGGGCTCAATAGTCGAGCATATGGGCTTAGTTACCCCACTGCACGTGGGATCTTCCCAGACCAGAGATCAAACCTGTATCCCCTGCCTGGGCAGGCAGATTGTTAACCACAGGACCACAAGGGAAGTCCCCCTGAGGACTTTTTAGAAATGCAAATTGTTGGCTTCACCCAGATCTCCTGAATTAGAATTTCTGGGGTGGGGCCCAGCTTGTGTATTTTAACAAGCCTTCCTGATTATTCTGACCAGTGCTAAGGTTTGAGGACCACTGCTATCAGAATTCCCCTGTACCCTCACTCAGCCTCAGCAATGATCAAGCCATGGCCCAGTCTGCTTCACTAATCCTCCATCCTCCTCCCACCTCACTGGATTATTTTGAAGCAAATTCAGACATTATATCCTTTCATCCATAAGAATTTCAGTGTGTGATAAGGGACTTCAATGTGGATGAAAATAACACTTTACAGGATACATTTGTTAGCTATCTGGGCCAGACTATTCATCTTACACAATTCGTCCTTTGAATACATTCAACAGCCTTAATAGGGTGGTTTTCAGCCAAAACAATAAAATATTAAAAAACAACGCTCCATTAGATAAGACTGAGAAAGATCCTTTCTTTTTTTTTTTTTTTTTTTGGATTAGGAATTTATTATTTAGAAAAGGATGAGTCTGGTCATCTGGGAAGAAGAATTAGCATCAAAGAAGCAAGTCCTTAACAAAATGATGCCTGACTTCACCTTGAAAGAGGCTACTGCCTATGGTTTATAAAGTTTTATTCTACATCCTATCCAAAGGGTATATAACCTGATTGTTTTCCTGGAATTGTCATAGATTCACAATTTGTGTCCATGCACTGTGCTCTGATCTTCTCTCTGGTCCACTCGGCATTTGTATGAAAATTGGCCAGAGTCAAGATACAACCCATGACTGTGATCTGATATTACCTGAGAAATACAGAGAAGTATACAGCCATGATCTTCTTCTCATCAGCCAAGCATGCTAGCTCTCCACTGTAAACAGCCCATCTCATCATAGGGTTATGTCATCACCGGGTTCCTTCAAGTCTTATTAGACCCCCACGAGGACTTGTTAGACTCTGAGAAACTCAAGAGAATATTTGTTCCCCTCTTCAGATGTCTGTGGCAAAAACTGACACTTGCACAGGGCATGATTTGATAGCAATATCTGCAAAGTGTCAGAAAGGGGAGGGGATCGATACACTTAATTTACTTGGAATAATTCATTGCCTGACCAGAGTTTTCAGTGAGGGCAGACAAATTCCACATGACATGAACTCACCCACCTGGATGGAAAGGAGTACAGTGAATCCATCTTTGGAATGAGATGTAAAACTGAGTTTCTTGGTTTCATTAATGACTCCCTTGGCCCCTTTCTTTCTTGAGACAGGGTGTTCACTGAGTCAGCCATTTATCGAAGTGGGTGATGTGTGCTATCGACTGCGAGTCGCTTTGCAGTTCCACCTGAGCTGTAGTTTGTACTCTGCCCTGATATCTGACTGTGCTCCCTGCTCAGAGACTACTGGCTTGGAGCTGTATTCCACCTCGAGAAAAAGGAAAAGCACCCATCTTTTCCATTGGTGGAGGAGATGATGGTGATTTTTCTTGTCTTTCAAGGCTTACCAGTAGGGAATCTGTTTATCATGGGACTGAGGGTTACAAAATAAGGAGAGAATTGCTTAGTGAGGTGAGAGCCTCAGCAGGGTGTACTGAGGTCATGACTTTTTTTGAGATAAATATTGAAGAGGCATCTAGATTTAGTGGCTTCCCAGTACTCTCTCAACCTCCCATCTCTTTTAGCTGGCACCGCGTACAAAGTGATTTGAAGTAGGGTTTGCCACGTGGTAGCAGTGAGAGCCCATGAGTTCTGAGTTTTGGAGAGGATCGGCTGGAGGCGCCTCCCTTATTGCGGTACAGCCATCCCTGGTAAACCATGGTGGCCTGGGGACACAGCTCTGATGTAGGACAGGAAGGGACAAGAACCAAGATCCCAGCTGAGGAAGCTAAAGGAGCCTGGGGAGGAGGGATGTAAGTATAAGGCGCCTTCAAATAATTATGCTATTACCATCTAATTATGAAGCGCAACTTTCTACTTTAACTACCTGAAATTCAGAGAGCACCTGGCAATAGGCTGTCTACCGAGCTTTGGCATGCTCCCTGACGCGGAAGGGGAAGTCCACGGTCAGAAAGCACCGGGCTCTTGAGGGGGCCAGAAAGGTTCTCAGAGAGTAGCTTGGAAAGGTCAGGAGGTGCGTTTCCATTCTCCTCATTTGTCAAGCTGTCTCACCTTTCTGGGGCTCATTGGAATTATCTACAAAATGAGGGGAAAACATCTCTTCTCCTCTTTTTGCCAGCTTGTCAATAGGCTGGCAAAAAAAAAAAAAATCAAGATATAAATCTCTGTAACTATTTTTGGGATTATCCTTGAAAATAGGAGACATCGGGTGACTTCCCTGGTAGTCTAGTGGTTTAGAATCTGCCTTTCAGTGCAGGAGGACTCGGGTTTGATCCCTGGTCGGGGAATTAAGTTCGCACATGCTGGGGGGGCAACTAAGCCGTGTACTGCAACTTCTGAGCTGGTGAGCCTAGAGGCTGTACCCTGCAACTAGAGAAGCCTTGGACGATGCTTCTAGAGAAAGTCTGCATGCTGCAATGGAGACCCAGCTCAGCCAAATACAAACAAATAAATACATAAAAATAAAATAGGGGAAGTCAATCAAGAAATACTTGTTGGATGCTCATTTTTCTTAGGATACTCTAAGGGGATTCAGAAGATTTAAGACGTAGGCTCCTGTCCTCGAGTACCTTCCTGTGCATTTGGAGACATGAAATAAGACTCATGGTTTGATTCAGCCAACCATTCAGTCATCCATTCATTCAGATGTGCATGTGACATATATTTATTGAGCAGCTACTTTGTGTCAGGCACTAGGCACAGGCTCTGGCAATGCAGAGATGAAAAAGATTTACATTGTGTCCTCAAGGAGCCTGTCATGGTTCATGAGACATATAGGACAACAGTATAAGCTCTTGAGAGAAGCTGAAAGTGGCTAGAAGATACAGATACTCTGAGAAGGGAGCGTTTGCTGTCGGCTGAATGGGCAGGGCAGTCTTACAATGGGCCCAAGATGGAGTGGGAAGAGCTAGGACTCAAACCTGACATGAGTCCCAGTTAAATCAGGGTCCCTGATGTCCAGCGGTTCCTTATTCTCTTCCCATGTTCCACCTTCCAGAACATAAGCAATAAAACTCAGTAGGAGAGGCATCATTGTGGTGATAGAGGAGGAGATTAATTCATAATTTTGATTTCCTTTGAACCGTTTTCACTTGACTTAGTCAAACTTATGTGGAAGATGATTCATTACAACCTATTTTAAATCATGATCAGGAAGCACAATGACACCCTGAAATGATAGAGGATGTATTTCAAGTGAAGAAATCTCAATTTTTAAAACTTAGAGAAAAGTAATTTGGTTCTTCCTGGTAGCACAGACGGAAAAGAAAAGACCTAAAAAAGATTGTTAAAGAATTCACTATTTGTGATTGAATCCATATATTTCTTATGTAAGCAAAAACTAAAGAAGTTAATCTCATTTTATAGAACCAAATATTCTAGAAACGTATAAAGTGTGAACACCTTCCTTCACCAACCCTCGCCCCGAATCTACTCCCAGAGGTAACTGCTGTTAGCAGTTGGAGTCTTGCACTATGTGTTTATACACATATAAACGAGCAAGCAGTCTGAGCACAAATGCATAAATGGAATCACACATGATGTACATTATTCCGCAATTATATCTTCTTTGAATTTAACAATATATCTCAGAGATTTTTCCCAGTGATAGTCTGCTTTAATATGCCTGAAGGAAGCAGAAATTGAAGCATTCATTTCCTTTTGTCTTCGGCTTTCCAAGGCAAGACTTGCTTTTTTCATCCCTATCTGATCCAGCCTCCCAGGGAAGCGGTAATTGCTGTCGTGGTCAGGTAAAAAGAGCAGAAGGGAAAAGGTGAGGGTGCAGGAGAAAACAGGAGCTACACTGAGTCTCCAGGTGTTTTTAAATCTGGTCCAAACACAGGGAAGGGAAAGAGAACCAAAGAGGAACCCTCGACACTTTTATGTAAAGGATGTTTGGCTGGCCTCGGGGAAGAAGACGGCCATGACCTCGAACTGACTACTCTCAAGTCCACGTGTATTCATTTTCTCCGTGCAAAAGCGTACCAGTGGTTTCGTGGTATTCTTTTAGGGTACTGCTGCCCCTTTTCAGAAGAAAGAGGAAAGAAAGAGTGAAAGGAAGGAAGGAAGAAGTGGCGAGGAAGGGGGGAAGGAGAGAGGGAGGGATGGATGAGGAAAATAAGGAAGAAAGGAGAGAGAGAAAGAAAGAGACTAATTAAATGCCTCTGCTCGCTCTCTGCAGGCTTGAGTTTCTTGGAGGCCCGTGTTGGGGAGAGTTTGGAAGCTACCATCTTATCAGACATCCAGTGCCCACAAAGCAGAAAAGGGCTAATTCTGAGTTCAGAGTGTCGCTGTCTGATCACTTTCTTGACATTCAAACCCTTCAGTTCTGGACAGGAAGGTCTTGGGGGAAGCATTGTTTAATTTATTTGGTTCTACACATAATTAGAGACTTGAATATCCATTGGACTCTTATCCCACCCCTCCCCTCATCTCCCCAAATATAGGCCATCCCATCAGATAGGACAAACGTTTTTGTATCCGAGAAAGAGATTCATTCTGAAACAGGCAAGTGTAATGCGGTTGTGGATACAGATAGGCATCGGGTCTTCAGTGAATGTTCACTCGGTCCTCAGATAACAAGGGAAACGCTAGCTGGGCTTCTCTGGAGACTGTCATAGATGGTGTGTTCATGGAGCCAGTTCAAAATTCTGAATAGTCCTTATCATGTTGAAGACTTTAATGCAGGTCATGGAGCAAGGGCCTTGGCAGCCACACCAGTCTGTATCCTGGCATAAAATAAAATACACTCAGAGGGGTTGTGGAAGGAAATTTCATAGACTGTGTATAGAGGGTTGGGCTGGGTTCCAGAACCCAATAAGAGGTGATCTTGAGACATGCAGGGAGGTGGAACAGCGGTTAAGATCATTACCACCCCCAGCCCAGCCCTGAAGCAGAGATGAGGGACCAGAGTAAGTGGAACTTTGTGAGCTGAATGCAGGGGCCCGGGGCCCCCCCTGGCAGGAGGAGAATGCTGGAAGGGCAGGATGCTACCAATGTCACAGCCCAGCCCTGAAGCAGAAAGGGAGCAGCGGAAGAATTATTTCCACCCCTCCTCCTGCGCTCTCATCTCTGGTGATTCTTGGTGGCCAAATGCAACTGAAAACCAGAATGGGGAGGAGTCTAAATCCCACAGAGTCAGTTCATCAGGGCACAGAGCCTAGTGGGGAACGTCGGGGAGTAAACCCTGGTGGTGGTGATGGAGGCCAGGAGGGTGCAGAGAACAGCCATCACTTCAGCCTGATGAAGCTTCAGCCTGGAGACCAACACAGGGCAGAGTTTCATGAGGTTCAGGTTCAAACCCAAAGGGCAAAGAAACAGTTGTCTGAGTCACCCTAGTGTGTTTAGAGTTCGAAAGATGCAGAGCAAACCACCAGTCACTGATCCTTTGGGCGTTAACACCGTCAGAGAGTCCACTGGCTGGAAGAGAGTTCCAGAATTTATCCTTCTGCCTCCAAAGAGAGTAGTACCAGAATATGCTAGGGAGATGGGCGGTCACAACAACTTTACTTACACAGCTTTATGAGGTGTTCCTTTTCACCCATCCTTAGCCATGCATGCAAAAGGAAAAAAAAAATAATAATTCCAGTTTTAAACACTTAGGCATTTAGTGTAGAACATACAGTGTTTTAAACATCGTACTGGATATTGAGATAAACAAGATAGGGTCCTCGGTCTTCCAAAGCTTACATTCTGCTGAATGAGGCAGATACGTGCCTGGCAAATTGTATTTCAGAGTGGGATGTGATTAGTGCTTTAATAGAGATAAGTACAATATGTTATTGGTGAATAGAAGAATTGGAGGTTAATTTTGACTGCGAGCATTAGGAAAAATGAAGTGATATGCCAACTGGGTTTTAAAGAAGTGGTGGGCAACCAGGTGTGTAAAAGCAGCAAGGCAGGAAAGCCCCCCGCCCCCCATCATGCTTGGGAAGGGCACAGGATGTCCTGGGTTGGCTGGGCCATGGAGTGAGGGGCCGAGGTAAGAGGAAGTGTGAATAGGAAAGTCAGCTGGCATGGGCCTGTAGGGCATGTGAAGGTCAACACTAACCTCTATGTGGCTGAGATTGCCAGTTGTGTGCTCCATATTCCTGCTTCTCTTTCTCCTTACTGATAGAACCTCTATTTTTTTTTCAGCGTGACATTATGTCCATTTAAAACTGTGAACCTCTTCGGCTCCCTTGCAGCTAGAGGGACATCATGTGACTTAACTCACACCTTCATCACCTACACAGATGCCTCCCAGATGAGGCTTCTGGGAAAACCACTGGATGACTGACAAAAAGAACTCACCTTGGGACTTCCCTGGCAGTCCAGTGGTTAAGACTCTGCCCTTCCAATGCACAGGGCGTGGGTTCAATCTCTGGTTGGGGAACTACAATCCCACATGCCATATGCCATGGTCAAAAATTTTTTTTAATTTTTTAAAAAAAGAAAAAGGACTCACCTGGTCTATGCCTTTTGCCCTTGCACCTCTCTCCTTCTTCCTGTCTAGAACATGAACTTGAGGCCTGGAGGTGGAGCAGGCATCCTGTGACCATGAAGCAATGATCCAGGTGTAGGAGAGCATGAGAAGGAAATTGGATCCATGATGACTTCCTGGGGCAGCAGCATCTGCTTTGAAACTCCTCCTGCCTTCTCATTCTGTGGGAAAAAAAAAAAACACCTCAGTTTTTAAGCCTCTATAGTCATATTTCTGTTCTGTGAAGCTGCATAGAGTGGTCCAGGGCTTGAGTTTATTCTGCAGGTTAGGAGGTACCCCTAAAGGCTGACAAGTAATATTGTAGGCCTGGGATTAGGGCCTGTGCTTCTAGTCTAGCTGTATTCAGAACACGATGAGCAATAGTCTGCACCTAGGATTTGGGGGTCTAATCTGGATTTCAGTCCAGCCCTACCCCTGGCTGGTAGGGTGACTCCAGGTGATTTCCTTAGCCTTTCTGATGTTCTCATTTATAAAATACAGGTTTTCTTAGAAGATCTCTGGAGGATCACTGAGGTTTCCTAGCTAGAGTGACATATTAGGAAGATGGCTGGAGGTGATATGAAGACTGGCTGAATAGTGAGAATGGGAAGCAGAAACATCAGAGATGTGGTTGTTGGTTTTGAGACAGAGAAGATGCTGAGGACTTGAATCCCGGGTGTGGACATATAGGAAAAGGAGTTGGCCATTCAATCCATAGGTCTCCTTAATGGATTGGATGGAGGCTGCATGGTGTAGACGATGGAGAAGTTGCTGCTGACAGATCCCAAAGGTGAATAAATCCAAAGAGCGTGAAAGGACTGAGCATTCTTCAACATCACAAAGATTTCACATAGATTTCTGGAGATGCTGTAATAGCGTGGCCTCATGTAACACTCTTAGGAAGTCTTAGATGAAGAAGCCAACAACAATAAAAATAACTTCGCTTCATGTCATGCTCTCCCCCTCAAGAACCCAAAGTATGTTTGCGTAGTTGTTAGGAGTTTATCACTGTGACATCCTTGTACAGGGAGGGAGGGGAGACTCATCTCTCCATGTTGGACTGACAGAGAAGCTGTGATCTGGAAAGGAGGGATCTGCTGAAAGTCAGGGCACAGTGGGGCTTCAACATTAAGTCTTTCTGACCCCCGGCCTGGGCTCCTCAGGGCTAGAGACATGAGAAAAGCTAGGCACAGGTTGCTTCCTCTGCCCAATCATTGTTGGTTGGGAAGGCAGAGCTAATAATACATCCCTCCACCTCTTTTTTCTTCTTATGACACTTTACGCTTCTTGCTGGAGTCAGATCTGGAGGCCCTAGAGCAGGGATGTCTTACTCGAAGCTTGAAAGATCTGCCAGGAAAACAAGACTGAGGGGTTTTGTCCTCCGTTGCCCAGGCTGAGGGGGCGCTGTGATCTGCCGCCAGGTTTGTTTCTGCAGCTCCTCCTCCAGTTGGTTTACCTGCCGTCTCAGTTCCCAGTTTTCCTTAAACCTGCATTTCAATTCGGTCCAATCTCAGACACAATCCCTCTCCCAGATCTCTCCTGCAAACAATGGGGGGGGGGGGGCATAACTGGTATATTTTAATCCCAAAATGGCATCTGAAAGCGTTCTGCAGTGCCGCCAAGCCAGCACTTTTAGAAGCATCTGACGATATTAATTTCAGTCTATTTCCTGAGGTTTGCAGGAAACTAAAATGTAGAAAGTGCTGTGGCAAAAAATTAAAGCTTTGTGGAAAAAAAAAAGGAAGATTGACAGGAAATGAGCCTTCAATAGGACAGCTTGCACGGAGCGAGGCTGTCCGCTTTGCTGCATATCAACATATGCGTGGGGAAAAATAGCTCTGACTCCTACTTGCAGCTTTGTCATTGGGAGCAGCCTGCCTGCAGGCTGTAGGTATGTAGGACTGGGGTGAGTCTTCATGGGAGACTGTGCACTGGCCCTTTGGATAGGCTCATGAATCATGGCTGGTAGCCAGACTTCCGTAAAAGTGAAGTTATTAATACATAAAAGTTATGTAATACATCCAATTTGTATCCAATTAAGAAGAAAATCTAAGGAGACATTCAACTCAGTTATTCTAAAACCCATGATTATTTTGTTACTTGATTTTCCCGTATCTGTCTTTTATTTTTTTTTTAACGTTTGATTCTGATACTTTAACATTCAGGCCTTTGTGGAATTTCTTCTAACTCTCCCCTGTGCGATGATACTCATAAGAAAATTCTACCTCAAACGCACCATCTTTTGTTTTAAAAGTACTTGTCTTTGTCTGGTTTTCTTTCTTCTTCTTACTCCAAGGCAAGTTTTCATGACTCTTTCCTTCTGCCGCTGGGTGCAGAGCTCCTTCAGAGGGTCTCTCCCTGATTCTCACCAGTAGGTGGACACAGTCCTGCTCAGCACAGAGAATTTCTAGCATGTTCAAGCCCTGCAGAGTCTCAAGTTGTTGTTGTTTAGTTGCCCAGTCAAGTCCGATTCTTTTGAGACTCCCATGGACTGGGATTTCCCAGGCAAGGATACTAGAGTGGGTTGCCATTTTCTTCTCTAGGGAATCTTCCCGACCCAGGGATGGAACCCTTGTCTCTTGCCCATTGCATCGCAGGTGAATTCTTTACTGTTGAACCATTGGGGAAGCTCCTGCAGGGTCTCAGGAACCTCCAGGAAAAGTAACGAAGCGAGTCATTGACCATCAATTGGTTAAAACGCCAAAGCTTGTGATAGTGAAACCAAGCAGGACCCCGTTTGGGGGGTGGGGTTTGCCATCCTGCTTGGAAGACTTCCAGTGTCCCCCAGGTCTTGATTATAGGAAATAGTCTTCCTTCAGTCCCCAGGAGCCTCCCTGAATTCCAATGGACAGGTTCAAATGGATGCTAATTAGGGGAAAGGAGGGGATGCAGAGACAGGGGAGGAAGAGTCAAGAGAAACAATAGTACAGTCTTGGGGAAGGGTCCTGCACCTCAAGGGATATGCTGTTTGGCAGATAGCGGGAAACTCCCTCCAGGTGTGCCAAGTTAAGGGTATGCTGCCCATAAGCAGGTAGAGCCCAGACCAGTTGGAAACAGATTGATGGTGACCACGCCCACTGACCTCACCACCAACCAATCAGAAGAATGTCCGTGAGCGGATCACAACCTCCTCTTTGAGCCATTACTAGAAAACGTCTCACTACTCCCTCCAGGTCAGGACACACAGTTTGGGGTTTTTTGTTTTGTTTTGTTTTGTTTTTTAATGTTTATTTTATTTGCCAACGCCGGGTCTTATTTGCATCATGCAGGATCTTTAGTTGTGGCATGAAAATGAAAGTGAAGTCGCTCAGTCATGTCCGACTCTTTTCAACCCCATGAACTGCAGCCTACCAGGATCCTCCGTCCATGGGATTTTCCAGGCAAGAATACTGGAGTGGGTTGCCATTTCCTTCTCCAGATCTTCCCGACTCAGGGATCGAACCCGGGCCTCCCACATTGCAGGCAGACGCTTTACTGTCTGAGCTACCAGGGAAGTCCTAGTTGTGGCATGCGAACTCTTAATTGTGGCATGTGGGATCTAGTTCCCTGATCAGGAGTGGAACCTAGGCCCCCTTGCACTGGGAGTGTGGTCTTAGCCCCTACACTACCAGGGAAGTCCTGGGACACAATTTTGGGGGCATTAGTCTGCTGTGGCCACCTTTGCCTGGCAAAGCAATATAGCTATTTTTTTTCTGCTTCACCCAGAACTCTGTCTCTGAGATTTAATTCTGTCAGGGTACAGGGGCTGGATTCGGCATCAACAGGAGGTGGCGACAACAGGGGCCAAGTTTTCCAAAAAAACAGTTCTGCTTCACTGGGACATAATCTTAAAAAGTAAGACCAAGTCACTCCTACTTCCCATCCACTCCATCTACCCACGTCACCTGGTGCCCGGAGATCAACAAAATAAAGAGGGCAAAACAGGAGGTGCATGGGTGTGCAACTTTGTGGGTCAGGTGGGACACCTTGGATTTCACAGATGAGCTGAGGCATCAGTGTGACCCAAGAAAAGTCTTGGGCTCCACAAAGTCAAAGCTAGACCTTCCAAGGGGCCCATGTTGTCATTGGAAAATCCAGTTAGTGAGGGCATCTGGAGCGATGCAGAGGCTTCCAGACTGGGCTTGGTGGAGAGGCTATATCCCCAAGCTCCTCTCTGCCTGTTCAGTGTAACAGCCCAAGTGAGACTTGTTTTTTTTTTTTTTCATTTTCTTTTTTCAAATTTATAGGTGCAAGACATGCCCCAGTGCCACCATGGATAGTGTTAAACTTATTATGATCTGTTGTTCCTGAGACTAGGTGAGAGATGAGCAGGTGAGAAAAACAAGACCTTACTTCACTCTGCTGTAAGTTTTAACAGAACCAGGGAATCAGAGTCAGGACCACTTGGGCCTGTGGTGGTCCTTCCAGGAGAATTCTCTTTCAGGTACCCTAGTAACCATAGGTCTGTTACGATTATGATCCCCCACAGTATGGGTGAAAGGAGAGGCTGGGGGAGGTTTGGGGATGTTCTCAAGGCCAAGATGGGGCTGTGTGGGGTGACCCTAGAACCCATTTCCAACTAAATGTAAAGTTCATTGCAGATCGCTGTGCAGACTTGGCTGTTATTCTGATTCTTAGACAGGAGAATCAGCATGTATTGTAAAGAATGTTGTTCAGTCACTCAGTCAAGTCTGAATCTGCAACCCAAGGACTGTAGCCCATCAGGCTCCTCTGTCCATGGGATTTCTCAGGCAAGAATACTGGTGTGGGTTGCCATTTCCTTCTCCAGGTTATCTTCCCAACCCAGAGATCGAATCCGTGTCTTCTGCATTAGCAGGCATTGGCAGGCAGATTCTTTACCACTGAGCCACCAGGGAAGCCCATTGTAAAGAATAATAAGAGCAACTGAGTCCACAGAGTGAATAATAATGTTACAATTTTTACAAAGGCACTGGGACTCCTCCTGGCTTTGTGGCTGTCTTATGGGAGTCCAGATTGTATCACCATGGAAACCTGGATCCTGACATCACCTTGGAGGACCACAAGGATACATGAGATTTGGGGCAAGGGCAGAGGGGGCACAGTGAAGGAGGGAGTGAGTGAGTGGCTTCACTAGGGAGTGGGGACTTGGGGGATGTGGTTTCCTCAGGAGACTCCACACTTTTAAGATTCTGGCGAGGTGTATGAAGGTGTCTGGGCCCCA